TGATGAAACCACATTAAAATTTAGAAACGTTTGAACATTTTTTTTAATAATAATTTATTGAAAGTGTGCTTAAATAAGCAATATATAATAAAATTGTATTTTTAATAATCGTGTTAATTATTGCGTTAATACAAAGGTAAATAAAACAAGTAAGAGTGTTATATTCGGCTGTGCCGAATCTTGTATACCCACCATCAAATCATTGCCAAAAGGAATGCTTCCTTATAAATAAACTTTGATATTTAAGAATCGATGCTTTTGTTATTATCAAAACAATTTTCTCATTTATTACATCTATGTATGTATAGGGAAATTTTTGTCGAATTTTGTCGCTGTCCTTGTATTTTTAAGGTAGCAAAAAGCGTTAAAGTTATTTTCTGAGGGGACGTTTGGTCAATTATGGACCGATCCTCGTCAAATTTTCTATAACGATTTTAGTTTAGGCTAGTAATGAGCGTTAAAGTCATTTTCCGAAGGGGACCGTATATGGGGGTAGGATAAATTATGGACCGATCGTTATAAAATTTTACAAAGCGATTTAGGTTTCTATAGAATAAGTTTATGTCAAATTTCATCGCTATAGATGCTGCTTTTAGACCATTCTGAGCGTTAAAGTATTTTTCTGAAGGGGACCTTATATGGGGAGTAGGGTCAATTATGAACCGATCCATATACAATTTTACAAAGCGATTTAGGTTCCTATAAAATATGTTCATCTCGAATTTCATCGCTATAGATGCTTCTTTTGGACAGTTATGAGCGTTAAAGTCATTTTCTGAAGAGGAACTTATATGGGGGGTAGGGTCAATTATGGACCGATCCTTATAAAATTTTACAATGATATAAAGGTTCCTAAAAATATGTTTATGTCGAATTTCATCGCTATAGATGGTTTTTTAGTCAGTTATGAGCGTTAATGTCATTTTCTAAGCGGGACCTTATATGGGGGATAGGGTCAATTATGGACCGATTCTTATAAAATTTTACAATGATATTAAGGTTCCAAAAAAATATGTTTAAGTCGAATTTCATCGCTATAGATGCTTTTTTTAGTCAGTTATGAGCGTTAATGTCGTTTTCTGAGGGGTACCTTATATGGGGAATAGGGTCAATTATGGACCGATGCTTATAAAATTTTATAATGATATTAAGATTCCTATAAAATATGTATATGTCGAATTTCATCGCTATGGCTGCTTTTTTTAGTCAGTTATGAGCGTTAATGTCATTTTCTGAGAGGGACCTTATATGGGGGATAGGGTCAATTATGGACCGATCCTTATAAAATTTTACAATGATACTAAGATTCCTAAAAAATATGTTTATGACGAATTTCATCGCTATAGCTGCTTCTTTTAGTCAGTTATGAGCGTTAATGTCATTTTCTGAGGGGGACCTTATATGGGGGATAGGGTCAATTATGGACCGATCCTTATAAAATTTTACAATGATATTAAGATTCCTATAAAATATGTTTGTGTCGAATTTCATCGCTATAGCTGCTTTTTTTAATCAGTTATGAGCGTTAATGTCATTTTCTGAGGAGGACCTAATATGGGGGATAGGGTCAATTATAGACCGATCCTTATAAAATTTTACAATGATATTAAGGTTCCTAAAAAATATGTATATGTCGAATTTCATCGCTATGGCTGCTTTTTTTAGTCAGTTATGAGCGTTAATGTCATTTTCTGAGAGGGACCTTATATGGGGGATAGGGTCAATTATGGACCGATCCTTATAAAATATTACAATGATATTAAGATTCCTATAAAATATGTTTATGTCGAATTTCATTGCTATAGCTGCTTTTTTAGTCAGTTATGAGCGTTATTGTCATTTTCTGAGGGGGACCTTATATGGGGGATAGGGTCAATTATGGACCGATCCTTATAAAATTTTACAATGATACTAAGATTCCTAAAAAATATGTTTATGACGAATTTCACCGCTATAGCTGCTTCTTTTAGTCAGTTATGAGCGTTAATGTCATTTTCTGAGGGGGACCTTATATGGGGGCTAGGCGAAATCGTGGACCGATATTGCCCATTTTCAATACCAAACAAACTGCATCAATATAAAATATTTGTGCAAAATTTCAGCTCGCTAGCTGCTTCCGTTTGGACTCTATCGTGTTTTCAACAGACGGACAGACAGACGGACAGACGGACGGACATGGCTAGATCGTCTTAGAATTTAATGAGGTTCCAGAATAAATATACTTTTATGGGTCTTAGATGAATATTTCGATGTGTTACAAACGGAATGACAAAAACAATATACCCCCCATCTTTTTTGATGGTGGGTATAAAAAAGCATTAAATTAATGATAATTATTAATATTTGTATCCAAATCCGAAAAATCTTTAAATTCATCCAATTCTGGCCCACGAGCTATTATATTGAGAAAAATAACAACATCAACATTATCATCATCATTTCATTAAAAAGTGTTAACAATCATTTGTAACTATATTATTCACTATTCTAAAATTAAACTTCAAAAAGTGTTAATATAAAAAAAGTGATTAAAACCTGCTACTTAAATCTAAAATAAATTCTTAAACTACATTAAAGCTATCTAATATTGTACTATGAAGTTTAATTTTGGTTCTTTATATCACCATCATTAATTATTTTTCATTTAAATTTATTTAGTTAACCCTTAAGTTTAAGTATATACAACTATCTCCAACCCTGTCACTTAACTACAAATTATAAGAGACACTGCTATTATCAGCAACATTTTCAGCAGCGTTTGAAGAGGCCTCATCAACAGCTGTGTTTCGCAACATTTTTATTGCGGTGAGTCAACATTTAAATGTTTATATTTACTATTTATGATCTCTTATTTTAACAAGTTGCTTACCTCACTCTTATACTAAGCTAATACTAAGAAACAAAAAATCCAATTTCAGAACCCTATTAGCAACAATTAATGTTGCAGAATCTTTTTTTATAAAAATATCTATACACGTTTTTTGTTTCTTAGTTTGTTATTACCCTACGTATAATTGATAGATAATAGGACACCTTGTCATAAATTCGTATAAATTATTATTTAAATTTTTTCACTTAGATATTTATTAGTTCATATAAAACATTTTGTTTTGAATATTTGAAATGTTTTAAGATAAATCTTAAGAGTACTTTTAAGTATTTTTTTCTGTTCTTAAGGAAAATTTTCAAGATTAATTAAATTAAAAAAAAAAAAAACAAATGATGAATTTAAAATGAATAAATATAATATATTTATATAAATATATAATTTGAAGATGGATAGCTAAATTGATAATAAATGTTTTCTTACTGATGTGAAGGATTAGGTTTTCGAATGTGGGATCTTGGCTTAAATATTTTCGCCGTCAAGATCAAAGGTAGGGCGGGTTAAGAGGCGTTTTCTTCTCCATTACATCCTGGAGAATACCACTACAGTTTTCTTGGTTGATGTTGTTAGTTTTCTGTATATTTACGTTGATTTTAATTTGGGTTATGTTTTACATCTATTTTTTTATAAAATCAACTTCCAGTCCACTCTATTATAGGTTTTTAGGGAGTCATAATAATATTTATGTAAACAAAATACAAATACAATTCTTTCTATTACAAGTAGTGTAAGGAGAACAAGAATCTCCCCAGCCGACTGACAGCTAGCATTGTCAATGGCTCCCGATAGTTCTGTTTATCTATTAGAGCACCAAGACCAATAGAAAGAGACAATTTCTTAGCTGTCTGTGAATTTGTTCATTACATAAATTGGCGCCCAACGTGAGGCAAGAAAAACTTAGTTGTAGTACTGAAAAGTATTATTCTAGTTTTTTTGCTCTAACTTCAAACATCATTTTTATGTAAATTTCATTAACTCATAGAGGTTTGGGTTTTAGATAAGAGAAAGTCTGATATATAAATTTGTGATTCTTTCGGATATTCAATTATTTGAGGATATAAAAGTTCGAATATATTGACCAAAGAATATCATTAATTTCTTTTATATTCAGATGGAATCTAATTTAAACTTTAAAACTTTTGTGACGGTTTATTAAACAACTTTATTTTATATTTTTTTTGGATTTTACTAGTTATTGACATCCTGGTATTTATTCGGAAATACAATATATTTGCTGCTTGCGTTTTATTGTCCAGTAATACTAGTTCTTTTAGTTATTCAATGTTTAGCATGTCGGTTTGTAAATCAAAAAAAAAAAAAATATTTAGAGTAAATGAGTTTTTTAAACTCAATAGACAAGTTTTTTTATCTCTATCAACCATATTATAAATTTAAAAACTGTTACGTTTCAATCCTTTTCCTCACATCACAATAATAAGAAAACTGAAAATTTCGTATTTTATTAATTATATTAAAAAATAATAAAGATTCTTTTTATGATTTTTGTAAAGAAACTTCTTACTTGTCTTTGTTAAGTCTCCCTTTTATCTTTCGAATTATATTGTCATCTTCGATAATCTCTAAAGAAATATAATATATTTTTTTCGGTAAATTTCGAAATATTGATTATTTTGCTCTATTGGTTTGGATTTTTTTTTATTTCAAAAGGAAATTTAATTTTCGTATAAAAATAAAGTTACCAAAACTTTTGTGCTATGTTGTATAGATAAAGATTTGTTTTTGTTAAAATGTTCTTTTAGAAACAACAGTACCGACTTATAGGTTTGATTTTCTATCAAATGAGTTCGAGTTTGATTGCTTTTTCTGAATAACTAGTTTGTGTATAAAAGTAATCAATAGGCTATAATTGTTTCTATTGTTCTAGTTTCGGAAATAATTATATATTTTAACATTTTTGCTTTATCCAACCATCTTTGATATTTTGTTAAACTTTGCACAATTTTGCTATTAAAATTGAAAAAGAAGTTTTAGTTGACATTTCAATTCTTTTCGAGTTTCTTCATTTTCTTTTAGTTAATTTAAAAATTTTCCTTCGTGTTTTGGGGTAAACTAATATATTTTCTGATCTCTACATAAACTATTAATAACCATAATGATGGAAAGATCACCTCCTCCTCCACAGGCTCCAGAGTCTGTTGTTGACACTACAGAACAGAACTGTAAGGTTTGCAATGATAGGATGTGTGAAGGACAAGAATGTTTGCTTATTTCTGAATGCAGTCATGCATTTCATCGCTCTTGCATAGAAACGTATTTGTCCAATTCTTCTGAATGTCCAAACTGCAAAAGACCATGTGCTCTGTCAGAACTTAGAAGAATTGATTTCCCTGTACAAACTCAACCTATGGAAAAAGCTAAAAATCAACCGCAAAGAAGACCCCGTGGTGCTGCAAATAAACATGTAAAACATTTTACTAGAAGTCAAGCTAGAAATCTATTTCATGATACTCAAACTTCTTTAGCTGAAGGTAGTTCAAATTTTGGTTTATCCACACCACAAAGAAATCCACCAAATACTAATGTGAATAATTCTCCTCATAATAATCAACAGAGTCAGACATTTGATTATGCACAACTGAATTATATGATAGAGAATACAGTTTCACGATTATTACAAAATCTTAATTTAGCTCCAATAGCCCAAACACAAAATCCAAATGTTCAACCAGTTTCAATTCCAAATATTCCACCTATACCCTATTAAAACCTGCTACTTAAATCTAAAATAAATTCTTAAACTACATTAAAGCTATCTAATATTGTACTATGAAGTTTAATTTTGGTTCTTTATATCACCATCATTAATTATTTTTCATTTAAATTTATTTAGTTAACCCTTAAGTTTAAGTATATACAACTATCTCCAACCCTGTCACTTAACTACAAATTATAAGAGACACTGCTATTATCAGCAACATTTTCAGCAGCGTTTGAAGAGGCCTCATCAACAGCTGTGTTTCGCAACATTTTTATTGCGGTGAGTCAACATTTAAATGTTTATATTTACTATTTATGATCTCTTATTTTAACAAGTTGCTTACCTCACTCTTATACTAAGCTAATACTAAGAAACAAAAAATCCAATTTCAGAACCCTATTAGCAACAATTAATGTTGCAGAATCTTTTTTATAAAAATATCTATACACGTTTTTTGTTTCTTAGTTTGTTATTACCCTACGTATAATTGATAGATAATAGGACACCTTGTCATAAATTCGTATAAATTATTATTTAAATTTTTTCACTTAGATATTTATTAGTTCATATAAAACATTTGTTTTGAATATTTGAAATGTTTTAAGATAAATCTTAAGAGTACTTTTAAGTATTTTTTCTGTTCTTAAGGAAAATTTTCAAGATTAATTAAATTAAAAAAAAAAAAAACAAATGATGAATTTAAAATGAATAAATATAATATATTTATATAAATATATAATTTGAAGATGGATAGCTAAATTGATAATAAATGTTTTCTTACTGATGTGAAGGATTAGGTTTTCGAATGTGGGATCTTGGCTTAAATATTTTCGCCGTCAAGATCAAAGGTAGGGCGGGTTAAGAGGCGTTTTCTTCTCCATTACATCCTGGAGAATACCACTACAGTTTTCTTGGTTGATGTTGTTAGTTTTCTGTATATTTACGTTGATTTTAATTTGGGTTATGTTTTACATCTATTTTTTTATAAAAATCAACTTCCAGTCCACTCTATTATAGGTTTTTAGGGAGTCATAATAATATTTATGTAAACAAAATACAAATACAATTCTTTCTATTACAAGTAGTGTAAGGAGAACAAGAATCTCCCCAGCCGACTGACAGCTAGCATTGTCAATGGCTCCCGTTAGTTCTGTTTATCTATTAGAGCACCAAAGACCAATAGAAAGAGACAATTTCTTAGCTGTCTGTGAATTTGTTCATTACATAAATTGGCGCCCAACGTGGGGCAAGAAAAACTTAGTTGTAGTACTGAAAAGTATTATTCTAGTTTTTTTGCTCTAACTTCAAACATCATTTTTATGTAAATTTCATTAACTCATAGAGGTTTTGGGTTTTAGATAAGAGAAAGTCTGATATATAAATTTGTGATTCTTTCGGATATTCAATTATTTGAGGATATAAAAGTTCGAATATATTGACCAAAGAATATCATTAATTTCTTTTATATTCAGATGGAATCTAATTTAAACTTTAAAACTTTTGTGACGGTTTATTAAACAACTTTATTTTATATTTTTTTTGGATTTTACTAGTTATTGACATCCTGGTATTTATTCGGAAATACAATATATTTGCTGCTTGCGTTTTATTGTCCAGTAATACTAGTTCTTTTAGTTATTCAATGTTTAGCATGTCGGTTTGTAAATCAAAAAAAAAAAAAATATTTAGAGTAAATGAGTTTTTTAAACTCAATAGACAAGTTTTTTTTATCTCTATCAACCATATTATAAATTTAAAAACTGTTACGTTTCAATCCTTTTCCTCACATCACAATAATAAGAAAACTGAAAATTTCGTATTTTATTAATTATATTAAAAAATAATAAAGATTCTTTTTATGATTTTTGTAAAGAAACTTCTTACTTGTCTTTGTTAAGTCTCCCTTTTATCTTTCGAATTATATTGTCATCTTCGATAATCTCTAAAGAAATATAATATATTTTTTTCGGTAAATTTCGAAATATTGATTATTTTGCTCTATTGGTTTGGATTTTTTTTTATTTCAAAAGGAAATTTAATTTTCGTATAAAAATAAAGTTACCAAAACTTTTGTGCTATGTTGTATAGATAAAGATTTGTTTTTGTTAAAATGTTCTTTTAGAAACAACAGTACCGACTTATAGGTTTGATTTTCTATCAAATGAGTTCGAGTTTGATTGCTTTTTCTGAATAACTAGTTTGTGTATAAAAGTAATCAATAGGCTATAATTGTTTCTATTGTTCTAGTTTCGGAAATAATTATATATTTTAACATTTTTGCTTTATCCAACCATCTTTGATATTTTGTTAAACTTTGCACAATTTTGCTATTAAAATTGAAAAAGAAGTTTTAGTTGACATTTCAATTCTTTTCGAGTTTCTTCATTTTCTTTTAGTTAATTTGAAAATTTTCCTTCGTGTTTTGGGGTAAACTAATATATTTTCTGATCTCTACATAAACTATTAATAACCATAATGATGGAAAGATCACCTCCTCCTCCACAGGCTCCAGAGTCTGTTGTTGACACTACAGAACAGAACTGTAAGGTTTGCAATGATAGGATGTGTGAAGGACAAGAATGTTTGCTTATTTCTGAATGCAGTCATGCATTTCATCGCTCTTGCATAGAAACGTATTTGTCCAATTCTTCTGAATGTCCAAACTGCAAAAGACCATGTGCTCTGTCAGAACTTAGAAGAATTGATTTCCCTGTACAAACTCAACCTATGGAAAAAGCTAAAAATCAACCGCAAAGAAGACCCCGTGGTGCTGCAAATAAACATGTAAAACATTTTACTAGAAGTCAAGCTAGAAATCTATTTCATGATACTCAAACTTCTTTAGCTGAAGGTAGTTCAAATTTTGGTTTATCCACACCACAAAGAAATCCACCAAATACTAATGTGAATAATTCTCCTCATAATAATCAACAGAGTCAGACATTTGATTATGCACAACTGAATTATATGATAGAGAATACAGTTTCACGATTATTACAAAATCTTAATTTAGCTCCAATAGCCCAAACACAAAATCCAAATGTTCAACCAGTTTCAATTCCAAATATTCCACCTATACCCATTCAGAATAATTCTTCTACACAACCTCAAAATGTTCCTTATTTTATTCCTCAACAACCACCTAGATCTCAAAATACCAATCAAAATAATGACCAGTTTCGTTCTAATTCTGGAAATAGTACATCTTTTGATGAACATTTTGCTATTCGATCTGATAAGATCACCTCGATAATCCAGAACTGGAACATAAAATTCGATGGTTCTTCCAATGGGATCAGTGTCGATGAGTTTTTATACCGTGTTCGAAGGTAAACTCGTGAAAACTTCAACAATGATTTTTCTTTGATTTGTAAGAATTTACATGTTTTATTAGCCGGAAAAGCTCGTGACTGGTATTGGCGCTATCACAAGCAAGTTGATTTGGTAGATTGGAAAGAATTTTGCATATCACTCAAATACCAGTACAAAGAATTCAAATCTAGTTTCGATATTCAGGAAGAAATCCGAAACCGTAAAATGAAACCAAATGAAACATTTGAATCTTTTTATGAAAATATTTCTGTCCTGTTAGATAAACTCGAAACGCCAATTCCAGAATCCGAATTAATAGAAATTTTGACCCGCAACCTTCGTCCCGAAATTAGACACGAGTTGTTATATGTCCCAATTTATTCAATTGCTCATCTTCGAAAACTCGTTCAGATGACAGAACATCTGTTAGGTGACGACTATTTTCGCAAGAATATGGCTACAAAATTTCATCCAAATATCGGAGGTAGACGTCAAGTTTCTGAGGTAGATGGTCCGCAAGATCTGGATTTCATTGATCCGAAAAATACTCCTGATTTAGCAGTTGATGCTGTTCAGCAAACGAACCTTGAGTTTAAATGCTGGAACTGCGATCAACCAGGACATCACTGGGAAGATTGCCTTGAAACTCGAAACATTTTCTGCTATGGGGGTGGCACAAAAAATACATACAAGCCCCAGTGCGCAAAATGTGCAGGTAAAAAACTAAATTATTCAAAAAACGGGAATGTCCAGAACCTTGCCCGAAATCGCCCATAAGTCTTATCAAATCAGATCCTTTTGAATTTCAGTCTAATAACTTTTCAAATAATAAAAATAAAAACATTTTAAATAATCCCACTCCTCCTAATATAATAGCGAAAGATGAAAAGATTGCTAGAAAAGTTCATCCAATTTTGCCATACCATATAAAACTACAACATTATCTGCAGAAAAGAAAAGAAATCTTTGAATGTAATGCACTTATATCAATGCCAATTAGAAAACAAAAACGTTCTACATTGCGTATACGTAATTTTTACAAAACTCGCAAATTATTTTCAAAATATAAAGTATCCGCTATTATTAATAACAACAATGATAAACGTTATTATGCGTCTGTTAAGTTTTTGTCTTTTAAAGAATTAGGTCTTTTAGATACAGGAGCAAACATATCATGTATTGGTTCAGAATTAGGTGCCTATAATTTCTCTAAATTTAAAGAATTTGTCCCTTCAAAGTCATGTGTAAAAACTTCCGATGGTAGATTACAAAAAGTTATTGGTTTTTTGTTTGTGGATGTCACTTTTCAGAATATGACTCGAAAGTTGAAGATTTTGATTATTCCAACCATTACACAGAAACTAATTCTCGGATTGGATTTCTGGAAGGCCTTTAATTTGGCGCCGGAAATCTTTGGAAACGTTGTTTATGCCTCAGGAAAAGAAAATCCACAGGATAAGGTCTGTAGCTTATTTGATATAAATCCGGTTTTGTCTCACGAAAAGTCTAAAGACATAAGTTTATCAACTGATTCAAATTTAGAATATCCATTAACCCCAACACAACGTCAACAATTAGCTACTATTATTGAGTTTTTTCCTAACTTTGAAAAACAGGGATTAGGTCGTACTAGCCTTATAGAATATACAATTGATGTTGGCGATTCAAAGCCAGTAAAACAAAGGTTTTACCCT